GTGCTGCTGTTGTTCAGCCACTGGTTTCCTCTTTCTGGTGCAAAGTGGGCCAAAAACAAACAAGAGAGACGGACTCCTGACAGAAAAGCCAATCAGCTGATCATTAAGCAGTTTCATGATTGAAGTAGCAGCAGGAGAGAGAGAGAGAGAGGCAGTCGCTCCATGTATCGGTTGTTAAGTTTAACATGGGAATGCTTTACAAACATTCAGAGATGAACTTACACACTTGCTTTACTTCAGTCCACTCCTCCTCACTTTCTCAGAGATGAAATGCCGGTTTGGTAGCGAGGCTACAAATACACACAGCCGCTCTATCGCATGACGCACACTGCTCCGACGTGCTACGGTTATGAGCCGAGTTACGCCGTGTTGCAAGTTTTGTGAGGTGCTTTTTTGATATTTAATGGATTGTATTACATTTTTTATTTATTACATTTATTTTATTTATATCCGATCCAGTAATTTACGTCAGTATCAGACCGATACCGATACGTAATATCAGATCGGTCCATCTCTAACACCAACTATGTCCCACTTCATAAGCCGGATCCTTCGGAGGACCCGGCCTTCGCAGCCTATTCAGGTCTGTTTAAAATGAGAAAAATTATAACCTAATATTACTATAAAACACTACAGATGGAACAAACCAGTGAACACCTGCATTAGCTTAAAATGTTATCAAAGTGACATTGTGAATAATGTAATATTACTATTAGATTTGCACAAAGATGTCTGTAACTTTCTGAAGTCAAACTCAACAGAAACTCAACAGCTTTGTTTCTTTCTATACTGTTTGTGTATAATATACAGTCGTTTTTTAAAAATATGAAAATCATATTAGATTCAGATGTATGGTCTTTACATTGAAATGACACTTAATAGAATACAAAGAAGGTAAACTGCAGTATAATATAGCATATTAGGTGGAGCTACGTATTAGAATAGAATAGAATAGAATTCAACTTTATTGTCATTGCACATGCACAGGTACAGGGCAACGAAATGCAGTTTGCATCCATCCAGAAGTGCTTAGTGATATAGATATATTACAATATATATTAGCAATAATATAGATATGTAAGTATATTACAGAAATGGGTCTATTATGTTATAATGTACACGGTATGAAGTATGTTGTGAATATTCTATAACTATAAGTATGTACAGGCTGTAGTGAGTACAAGCTATGTACAGGATATGGACAGGATATAAATATGAAAAACTATACAGAATATGAAATAAATAACTTTACAGAATCTGGGATATACAGCTATACAGAAATGGGAACTATGCAAGTTGTAAACAGTTGTAGGGTTAAAAATTATCGTATGTACAGAATGATTGTTTACACAGGGCTATACAGTAGTGCAGTTAAGGTAAGTGAGGGTGTGGATAATTTCTACAGAGGCTATATAAAGTGCTAGTGGTTGTGAGTGGTGGTTCACTCCATGTTATTATTGTGTGTTTGAGGGTACAGTTGTCCATTGTGTGTGTGTGTGTGTATGTTCAGTCCATGAGTTAACGTGGGTCAGATGTCAGGAGGCAGAATAATAGAAGAGCATATAGTATTAACTTTCATGATGTGCACTTTAACACTGATTTGAAGTTTAACCCTATAAACACATAGTTTAACAAATATGATACACAAAGGAGTGGAAGGAAGGTAAATATTAGCTAACCAGAAGTCAATAAAAATGTAGACAAATCTAACAAATGTAACACGTGCTGAATAGATCTAATCTTCACAAACTTCCTAAGGAATTTAGGGTGGGAGAATTCAGCTACATTACTATTTTCCATAACAGCCTACTCCTTCCCTGACCTTTAATTTTACAATAGTGTAACTGATGTTAAAACTAGCTATTTACTGATTAGTAAACCATGTTAGCCTAAAGGCTACTACCATTCAAAACCAAATTAGTAGGTTAACACTAGACTCGGCTAGAAAACTAAAGCAACATACAAATAGTTTTGTCATATTATCTTTACTCTCTCTCTCTCCCTCTCTGGCAACAGGCATCTGTAACCGAATGTCAAAAAATGGTGGTGGAGGAGGTACGTTGAGGAGGTACTTTGACAGGAGGAAACAGCCATACATGCCAGAGCGGTAGCGCTGGCTAAGCAGGGTCACTGGATGAATTGGGAGAATGGGAAAGGAGTGAAATCTGGTTGGTTGTAGGACTAGCTTTACTCAAGGCAGATACACATGGAGACACAACCAGGTCCTTAGGTGTCTAGCTGGGAAAGTTGAGTGCAAGAGGAAATACATCAACGCTCAACCTTTCATGAACCAAGAGGAGCATCCATGTATCCATCAGCATTTGTCCAGGAGAGGGACAAGCCAAAGACTAGCCCTTCAACCCCAGACCTGGGCCCGCTGGAGGTCGCCAGGGATTGGCAGATGCAAGTGGACTTGGATCAGAGGCTAATTTTTCCCAAAGAAATAGCTACTTTGCGACCAGACCTCGTCCTTTGGTCTAACTCCCAAAAGTCTACGTATGTCATTGAGCTGATGGTACCATGGGAGGATGCAACTGAGGAAGCATTTGAGCATAAGAAGCTGCAGTATGCCAAACTTGGCAGCTGAGGCAGAGGACAGAGGCTAGAAGATCAAGGTATGCCCGGTGGAAGTGGGGTGCAGGGGCTTTGTTGCCAGTACAACAGCAAGACCGCTTAGAGAGATTGGGATCAGAGGACAGGCGCAATGGCAGGCCAGTGGTGGGGGGGGGGGGGGGGGGGGGGTTCAGAAGCCTGGGGTCTTTTGGAGTGTAATTTTTTCATAGTTAGATGCCTGGCTGACACTGTATAAAACAAAAACTACACACAATATTCAAAGCACATATTGCACACTGTGGGAATTTACGACTGTGCGTAAATCCCCCCTAATATTGGTATGATCCGAGCTCAGGCACTAAGCGACTGAGCTGCTGCCTGCGAGCGCGCTGTTGGAGAAACGGAGCGAGGCAGACAGAGGAGAGCTTAAGTTTGAGCAGGTACCAGAGCAAATCATTCATACTGTACAAATAATGTAAATATGATGGTGCATCACGAAAGATTGATATCAAACTGATCACTTGACCAATATTACGTTACTTGCTCTTCGAGTGAATCAACAAATGGCGAAATGAAAAGCTGAACAACAACAATGCTGTTTCTTTAGAGAGTCTTAGCTTACATGTGTGTTTATTTCATATTTTCAGTTGTTTCCCTCCACGGCTAAATAAATCGGTTTCAGTAATGTACTGATATACAAGAATGGACATAAGGAGCTTCTTTCAAAGAAAAAAACTCTGGTAGATGTTATTTTATATATTATGTTTTGTATGTTGTTCAGTATATTTCTATGCAAAACAAGAAGAACTTCAATACACAGCAGTATATTCACAGTTGAAACCAGATATTTACATACACTTTATGGAAAACACAAGAACATTTTTTTACTGTACAACATCAATTTAGAGTAAACCTGTTTTGTTTTGGATAAATAAATATTGAAATATCTTTTGAATGAGTTAAATGTCAGAATAAAGAGAGACAGAGCTGTCTATTTTAATCACTTTCATCAAATTTAGGAGTACATGTACACTAAGTTTATTGTTAATTAATAAGAAAACTCCAGACGATTCCATTCTGAGCTGAAGAAGCTTCTGATAGGTTAGTAGAGTCCATGTGAGTAAATTGGTGGCACACCTGTGGATGCATGTAAGGCGAAACACAGAGCCTGTTTCTGTGACATGGGAAAATCAAGAGATATCAACCAAAACACCAGGAAAAGAATTGTGGAGCTCCATAAGTGTGGCTCAGTTTTGAATACAATTTGGTGCCATTTACAATTAAGAAATACAGATAGTTTCTCTCTTTACTCTTAAAGTTAACAAATGTTTTTTATATTTATAAATCTAAAGAAATAAACATTTAGTCTGATTTGATGTTACAATTAAAAAGTGTTTGTGTTTTGATCTGAAGAGTTTGTAAATATCTGGTTTCCACTGTATATTTGATGATGTTGGTGTTTGGCTTGATTGTCAGCACAAAGAGGGAGAGAGAGGAAAAGAGGGAGAGAGAGAGAGAGAGAGAGAGAGAGAGAGAGAGAGAGGGAGAGAGAGAGAGAGAGAAACAGACAGACAGACAGAGAGGGAGAGAGAGGAACAGAGAGGGAGATGGAGAATGAGGACAGAACAGAAATGGAACGGAACAAGAGCAGGTGAGACACACATGTTAGTCAAATGGTCGTTTACCAAAAGTATCACAGGTACTCATGTATCTCGTACCTAGTGTTTCTTTTTAGGTTTGTTATTTTTCAAATTATATATTTATTAAGTTCTGCAGGCTTGTTTGCACAACAAGGCTAAATAATTATATAAACTTTTCTCAATCTAAATAGTGGACTTTGGTAGAATTAAAAAATAAGTGTAGTGCAGGTCTATGATGATTTTTAGTGCTACTATCATCTAGTTCTGATTGTGGTTCTGTCTTGGTTAAGTCCTAAGTAGTCCTGATTTTGAACTGTTGTAGTCCTGTTTTAGTTCTGGATCAGTTCTGGGTCTGGTTGAATTGGGGTTTAGTCACTGTGTCTTGATACAGCCCCGACTTTGTTCTGCCTTGCTGCTTAATTAAAAAAGTAGTTTAAGGTGTCCTGCACATGTGATATTTATTGTTCCCGATATGAAGTCATTCTTTTTTTAACATAACTCAAAACAGAGCCTATTAATCTTTCAGTCATTTCTAACCCCCCCAATCCCACATGTGTGGCAGCAAAAGGTGGGAATAAAGTAAGTACGCCTCACAGTTTAAAAGACAACGCCACCCTGGGAATTTCACCCAGAGAATACTGGAAGTAACACTAACTCACCAAGAAGGCACTTAGGTTTGTTATACTCAGTACAGAGACGAGGTTCAATGATAAAACAGTTTGACAATTTATTAATAATTATTTAAAACACCGTATAAAAGCGCAATCATAAATATCCATGTACAAATATGCTTAAAAAAAAAAAAAGTATTCAGAGCTGAGGCTTACCAGTGGAGGGGCAGGGATGCTGCGTACAACTCAAAAAAAAAAACAAGAAAACACACCAAGACACAAGTGCAACACAAAATCACACACTCACACTAATAAACTAAACAAGGCAGGTGTGTGCACTCAAAGGATCCCACCACCAAGGCACCCTAGTCTCCTCCACGTCAGCACTCCACATCTGAATAAAAGAAAAAAAGAAAATTTTAATATATTACAACAAAACTAATATGTAGCGCTGGGGGATAACCCAACTGCAGGACCACACTGGTGATCTGCAGTTAGAAAAAGGGCCTCCCACCAGTGGCGTAACAAAAATCAAAACTCCAAATCAAAACAACATAAAAACAACATACAATCTGAATAAAACTTTAAAATCTGGAGCAAACGGAATCGCCGTATTGCTCCAACTTGCCGTCTGCCCGACTATAAGTTAATCATCCGGTCAATCAATATGTACGCTAGCTTACTCCCATAACTGGCATGCATATGGCCGCTGTCCACGCTGACATCCACTTTAAAAAGCTGGCACCAGCAGGAAAAGAAACCTTGCAACGGGAACAGACGGTAAAAGCAAAGCAAAGCAGCAGCACTTCAGTTAGCGTGGCGTTGCGTAAAACTAAGGCCCATAATTCCTGCAAAGCATAAGAAGTAATTACTATTAAAGAACAATAAAAGGCAGAGATCGTAATAAAATTGAATTACGTACCGAGTAAACCGCGTCATGAAACATGAGCAGAGTGGCTCATAGGAGGCTTCTACAGCTATGACCTAAAAACAATATCTGTTTACCACCAAGTAAGGTAATGTACACACTACAATGAGTAAACACCTACCAGCCACGATGGAGGCTTCAGAATGATCTCTGCAACACCAAAGGGAAGTCAGGTGACCAAAAAGGAGATCACAGGTAAGCGATACAGGAATGCTCAAATGGCCACTATTTATACTAGCGCCCCCTAATGCGCCAGGCTGAAAGTGGGTTGAACCGAGGAATAACATTCATCCTGCCACACATGCTACCCTTTAGGGCTAAGCCCCGGGTGTATCAAATGTCTGCCTCCGCCTCTGTGGCAGGCTATAAGAGAATTAGCTAACACTGCTGAGAGGACCAATGACTAGCCATGTCAGCCCTCTTTAGCTCAAGAAGGTTGACATCACTTGGGCAGCAAAGGCAGTCAGCTAACCACAAGACACACGCCCAGGATTGTTCAACCCACAAGGGTAAAAAAACCTAACAATAGAAATTTTACTGGTTGACTGACACAGCTGTCTTGGGGCCTCCTGGGTCCTGTGCAGCTATCCTCATGGTAGTGAAACCTAATGGAGGAATGAAAAAAAATGTTCCGCTCTTCTCCCCTCTGCTCTTTTCCCTTTTCTGGGAGGCAGTGGGGAGGTAGAGTGTACAGCCTGATCTGGCGGGGAGGTGTGGGATGCCAGATCAGGCACCCCCCTTCCGGTTCTCCCCTCTCCTATCTTGTCTCTTTTGTCTTACTTCTCTCATCTTTTTTATTTCTTTGAAGAAGTGAATACCTTAAATATTAAAGAGGTAAGTATTACTTCTCATTTTGCAGTGAATTGATAGAAGAAAATAAATTGTAGAAAACTAAACAGAAGAAAATAGAGGAGAAATAACAATTTAACATAAACCAGTGACACACTATAGGGCCTGATCAACCCTGGCAGGGTGTCTAGTGATAATGGCTGAAACACCACACTTGACACCCCCCCCCCCCAATTTGTGATGCCCCTGGATGGATGGTGCTGCCTATATCAGGGTCAAAAAGCTGTCTGGATTTAAAGTGCTGTAAATGAGTGTTGGCCTATGACCTGTAAAACACATGTCAAACATATGTCCCATCAATGATATCAAGTCATTCTGTGCCACAAACAACATTCCTGTTAAAAAGTAGGAGCTGCAATCAGTATTTGGCAGTTTATATATCCTTTATTTATCCTAAAAAGTCTGACATTAAAAATGTCTTATTTAACAGTGTTCTGGCCAAGAGGCAATGTTCCCTCTAAGCTGTGCAGTGCGCAATTGTGCACTGCGCGGTCTCTGCGCACAGAAAATTTGCGTTGCGCACAAAAAAAAAATCTAACCTGAATTGAAATTAAAATTAAAATTTCAACAATTCTGTTTTGCAGTGTTAGTCAGGAAGTCACTGGCTGCTCCTGTATGTGTTTAGAACGATGCCACCTTATCCTGTAGTCCAGCCAATGATGCGATTCGTATACACACAGCTAATCAACGTGGTTGACAGGCTATGACAGCGTCCTTATGTGCAGACACCGGTGTTTTAGCTGGCAAAGCGGCGTGGCTGATGAGGAGTGAAGCCATGTTAATGACGACATGTACAACCATTGGAGATGTGAGCAGGACAGACGGAACAATTGACGGAAAAAGTGTGGACTTTATACCAGTTTTTAAATTGTGTTGATCGGCCACGTAAAACCAGAGTTGTGATAAAAATATCTGCAATGTTTGGTTTTCTTCTTGAATACTGTCGTTATTTGTATTTACTGCGGGAAGAAACGGTAAAAACGGCGTTTTATAAGGAAAAAGGCTCAAAAGCACTCTCCACCTGTGAGCAAAAACAAAACCAACCCCCACCCTTTCCTATTGGTCGAAAAAAGTACCATGTCAACCGATCAAAAACTGATATGGCAACGTGGCATCTATTTGTTAAGAAACGGGGAAAGTTTGAGTGATGCAGATGTGATATCACACTCACACAGCGACTGCCACACACACACACACACACACACACACACACACACACACACACACACACACACACACACACACACACACACACACACACAAGTCAGAATACACATGTGCCAGACACAAGGGGGTCAGACAGGAGCAGCATCAGTCTCTGCTCTGTTTTGTTAATAACGTAGAAAAATTATTTTGTACAGTCAAGCTACATCGACGGACGCTTTACCTCACGTACCCTAAAATGAAAAAGTAGTGACAGTAAGATGAAGGCTGCACATGACACCATGACTGAGTTCACAGCTGTTGCTTTGATTCTAACGTTTAAGACTTTTGGCATCGACTCCGTTTTAATAAATGAGTGCTGGGAGGCGTCGTTTGACTTCAGGAGCTCCTGCGATGCTCTTACTCTGCGGGAGAAAACCAAAAGCCAAAAGTAGCAAACATGGAGCGATATGACTCGTTTAGATTTTGGGAAACGTGCATCGACAGGTACAGTGTCCTTTTCCCCGCGTCTTTAAAGCTGCCAACTCTGCCTCAGCTTTCATACGAACAGATGAAGTTGAAGATCTTGAAGAAGTTTTGTGGCTTTCAACATTTGAAACTGCAAGAAACTCCATTCCGGGTTTCTCTGAGGCGTGGGCTTTCATCATCAGAGTTCATCCTTTAACCTATAACAATTAAAATATTCTCAAGTATGATCAACGGTTAATTACAGCACCGGCCGGAGTACCGGGAGCAGTTTGGAAGAACAAAAAGACGCGGAGACTGTTCTAAATTGTCATCCAAAACTAACTCAAAGTTTATTCTTTGTGCAGCAGTTTTTATAGGCAGACAACAAGTTTCAGTTCAGACCCTGCCCACTGGGTGGGGTGGTGTCCTTCGACAGTTGGAATCCTTTGTTCAGCTAGGGCAATAAAGATGCACTCACAAGGCCTATAAATCTTATACAGAGGTCTCCTACATCCGTGAGTTCTGACACAACCCAGATGGTCTTCACATAAACATCTTCTGCAAGGGAGTGATAAGTAAAAGAGTGATTTATTGGTGTTTTCCCTCCAACCTTAGTATCTACTTTCACACCATAAAATCTTCAGTTGACACAGCAAGAGGAGATGAGGTTAAAACAAAGGGCATTGCAGAAACAGGGTCCTTTGTATAATATCATCAAAAACAATACTCAGTAAATGCTACCATGGTATCAAAATATCACAACAGAAACACTATCACTTGGCTTGATATCATCCTCCACTTCTGTCTCAGTATTTGATGCAACATTGTTTTCCAATAAATTGATTTGCTTTGGACAAACAGCAGGATTTTGTTCTCTTTGATTTATCCAGTTCTGAATTTCATTTAAAAACATATTTGTGTATTTCATGATACTTGAAAAGCATTCCTCTTGTTTTATTACTTCCTCTGGCACCAAAGACAACACCTCAACATGTGAACTTGAAGCCTTTTCGCACAGTGCCTTTAAATCCACCAAATACTGCTTAATTTGAGAAAGATTTTCATTGTGTTGCATGAGCGCTTTCATTTTTGTATTAGTCCTTTCATTTTATTAACATATATTTTGCATTCATTTTGTGATTTTTCGATTTTATTCAACAATGCCTTTCCAGTCATTTTTCTTTCTCTCTTTTCCCCCAAATCATTAGAGGAACAATCATCATCACCTGTTTGACTCATGATTTTCCCGTTTGTTTGTTCGATTTTTTATTTATTTATTTATTTTAATCTTCAGTGATCATCCATTAAAACATATATCCACTGGAAGCCACAATAGACTTTGACCATAAAATCCTTTCAACGTAACGGCACTTTAATTGTCCATTTGAACATCATCCAAGCAGCATAATTAATAAGACGCAGCGCAGTCATCAATCCAAGAGCGCAGCCAAAAACATTGCACATTTAACCAACATTCATTCCATTCAGTGTCTCCTCTTAAAACATCTCAGCGCTAATGCAATGTCGCTTCCTTTTCCACAACCAGACATGCACAGGTATTCTTACCTGCGCTCCTCAGAATTGCGTCAGGTGTGTCGGTGCTGCTGGGCTCACTCATTCAGATGCGCTGCACTTACTTGGCGTCTTTCAGGTTCCTTGATCTGATTTCTTTGATCCTGCTTGTGGCTGGCTTCTCCAGAATGCCGTTTTTGTTGACTAAAGATGTAGCGACTTCCACAGTCGCTAGAGGCCGGGGATGGAGCCTGCCTATTTGCCTGACGCGCTGTCAACTTTACGCAATAATGCGAGAGGTGGAACTGTTTGCTTGTTTATTAAAGTGCTTTGAGAGTTTACAGAGTAATGTCATCGGCTCCTGATTCAGACTCTTAATGGGGACATTTCATTTTCCAGCAGGAAGCTTTTTGTTATAGCCTTTAGATCAGGGGTCGGCAACCTGGGGCTCCGGAGCCTCATGCAGCTCTTTAGTCCTTATAGTGCGGCTCTGCGTGGTTTGGGAAAATAAATTAGTATTTAGCTGAAGTGTATTTTATTTATGCCAGTTCTTTTTTTTTTACTTGTAGTTCTAAATTGGAAGATTATTGTGATTTTGCAATATACAAATAAAATTATATTTTGTTATTTTTTCATCGCTCAAAATAAGCATCACACTCGTGGAAGCCGGTGTACCCGGCGAAACGCCGTGCATTTATCGAGCCTTTCAACCCCAGATAGGCCAATTATGGCTCTTTGGGTCTTAAAGGTTGTTGACCCCTGCTTTAGATGAACAGAGTTTTTTAATTAAATACATACTCTTTAATAAATGTTCTCTTTTATAAAAAGTAGGATAATTAAAAAAAACTTTTATTATACCTCTATTAGAAAAAAAACTGTCTTGTTTTCTGTTGTCTGTTATGTAATATTAGGGATGTTTGTGACAATTAATTTCATCATCGGCTGGACTAACCAATAGTCCACAACTAGGAAACACTGAAATTTTAAGTTAAGTTTGAAAACAGTTTAAAAAAAAACACCCCATTCCAAAACGTCTTGTGACAATCTCATTGGAGTGATGATGTCATAGAACGTCATAAGTCCTTTGATGTTTTTCCTTAAATAGGGGTGAGAAACAGCAAGTTTTAGTTCGTTTCAGCAGCATCTGTGTTTGCAGCATACAAAACGTTCACCACAGAAACATTTGGAAAGCTCTTCAAAGTCATCGTATAG